GCACACTACCTGGTCCTGGCTGCGACAAGACAATGCTCAGAGCCTTCGCTGCCTTCCACGCCTCTCGCGAGGTATCGCTCGACTGCAGCCAAATGCCATATGCCTGGTTCAGCGCCGTGCGAATGTCGTGCACAGTCGGGGACTCTGCTTGCATATTAGCATCGCCCGCCGACTGCTTCAGATAGAGACAGAGAACGCTGGTCGCTAGCAGGAAATCGTGATTGACAAGCGAAGACACCTTCCACCGCTCGTGGTGCAATTGGCAGAACGGCTGCGTCTCTTCCTCGAGGATTTGCTGGTACGCGAGTAGCTTTAGCGCCGCGTTGAGGCATGCCGCCTGGGATTGGTGGTAGTCGGCGTTGGATAGCGAGAGGTGCAGGTATTTGCGGTGGAGGACGAGCTTGGCGCGGTAAAACATGATCTCGAGGCAAATCTTCTGCATGATGACGTGCGGGGAGTCCATGATGCAGTCTGCCATGGACCGCCACTGGAGACACTCGGGAATCGAGGCGCGCGTGTCTCGGAGGTTCTTTTCCATGTGTTCCGTTTCTTCACGACTGCATGCTCTTGTGTCGGCAGCAAAGTCCCAAATGTAGCCAATGGCTGTCATCATCCTAGCTTTGACGATGCGAAAGACCATGGGCGTAAGATCTGTTTCTGGCCGCGACGCAGGCATGCTGACTGTGTCCTTGTTGAAGTCGTTGTCTTGCAAGTTAGACGGCTCCGTAGTGTTGGTCTGCCACTGCGCAATCAGCCGCGGAAGGCCCATTTGCATCGAGATGCCCAGTTGCACCTCCAACATTGTGGCCCAGACTCGCTTGCGCATCTCGCCGTCGAAGGGAGAGATGCCACGAAAGTTCTTCGGGTCCCGGTGGTAGCCCATGTGCATGGAAAGCTGGACAATGATGCCGAGAAGGATCCAGATGCCAATCTCGGCGTCTCTTCGAAGAAATAGTTCGACGGCCATGTATAGCAAGAGGGTCTCTAACACATACACGCCCCCTTTGGTGTAGTCTCCGAGGATAAGACATTGCACGATGCGGAGCCTGAAATTGCTCACCATGTCTTGGAGTTCGTTTTTGAAAGGCGTTCCAGGAATCTGATCCTGTGGACCTTGCTGAAACTGCTCAAACAAGGTTGCGAGGCACATGATGCTGAACAAGAGGCCTATCCAAATGATTGGTGTTTCCGAGTTATCTGTCCAGAATTCGCGGTACTAAAATTTATCAGTCAGAATCTGCCGCTTCTAAGCAATAATACAACATCAGCATGGCAACATACTTCCCGCAAGAATTGGACACTATGCAATACAGCTGTATGAAGTTCACAGTGTAAGCCTTCTGATCTACATGGCGGGTTACTTTTGCTTACCTGGTGACATTTCAAACGAATTAAAATACCGCGAGACCAGCCTGTCCACAATATGGCGAGGCGGTATCGACGCCAATATCTCTTCTCTGGTAGTGACCTTTGTAAAGCCGTGTATAAGTTGCGGCCCGCTCAGGTTTAGCTGCGGTGGCTGCGCAGTGCCGAGGGGATGCGGATGCGCCTCGTCGTCCCTATCAAAGTGATCTTTGAGCTCCGCGATGCCATCCAACACGGCGGCCCAATGCGTTCCGTGGACATAGCTTGCCCCGGATTTTGTCAGCCGCATGCTGCCGTGATCCGAGTCTGGTGAGTTGACTCGGTGAGCACCGTCTGCGGCCGGCGTGGCCGACCGCGATACCCTCGGGAAGGCATGGTTGGCGGCCAGTGGCGTGTTGGCGCTGGGAGACGGGTTCGACGAAGCCAGCGGTGGCACATTCGCCGCTGACGTCTTTTGCATAAGGTCGACCACCAGCTCCTCGAGCTGCTTGATGCGGTCCTGCACGGTACCCACGGGGCGAACAGGCTGCGCGGTGCCGTCTCCCAGCGCTTGGGGGCTGGGGCTGTATGCGCAGGACAAGCCGAGTCCTCTCTGCGTGCAAGTTGCACACGGTTGCTGCCGGTCACAGCGCAGCCTAGGACGTATCAGCGTGAGGAGAAACGAGACTAAGTGTGGATGGGCGGGGGTGGGCAAAGCGGGGTGCGAACGAAGCACGTTGCGCGGGTCATACGGGCGGACTCACTTTCTCCTGCGGCAAAGATTGCAGGATAGCGGGACTCTGTCCCTTCGGCGACTGGATGGCAGCCGCGCTCTCCCAACGGCGGTTTTACCTGGCCCCCATACCGGGAGCGGCGAGTCATCGTCGCCGCCGGGCTCAAACATGTCTGTCGACATTAAGACGCGAGGTTCTGCTTCGTTTCAGTAGAAGCCTCCCTGCGCGCGGATAAGACCCGCTCCACTTGTTGTGTGCGGGAATGTAATGTGGCGTCGGGCCAAGAGGAGAGCATGGCGAAGTGAGGTGAGCGTGAAGAAGGACAAAGTCAAGTAGCGTATTGTGTCTGAGAAATAAACCGTTGGACGTTTTCACAATACAGTTACTGCTGAACCGGGGGTAGCCGTAAAAAAAATAAAAATAAACAGAAGGGAAATATCTCCAAAATTTCAGGTGGGCCGATCGATGGCGCTGATTAAATTGCTCTCGTAACTAACTAACTAACTATCGCAGTGCAAGCACAGAGAGGCGTTCATCGTGTCCCCCGATACGCTGCTCCGGTTCTCCATTCCGGTTCTCCGCTCCGATGCTCCGCTCTGATGCTCCACGCCATAGCCCTTCTATTCTATACGGCTGGCCGCATCCACCACGGAGGCTACGCTCATCTTGTTTTACAATTTGGGTATGCTGGCCCCTACTGATAGGGGGCAATGGAAATATCGGCCAATATTTGTTGTTTGGGGTCAGGGCAGATTATCTGGCGGATCCGAGAATGGAGATCCGGGGTCGGAGAAGGATATAACAGCCACATCCAACTGAGTCAAGAGTCAGGGGAAGTAAAGGGGAAAATGATATACCATGGTGCATCGCCCTACTTATATGTGGTGTACCTACGTGACACCAAAACCAAACCCTTCCTTGTTATCCATTCAAACCACGAAACAAGCACATACTAGTACTAGCCGCGCAATATCAACGACATTTTGGCCATGGCAGTATCCAGCGAAACCGACTCCAAGTTCGAAGCTAGTGTCGACGACACCGACCTCATCCAGCCTATCGAGCTCAAAGACCCCAACGTGATCGACTGGGATGGCCCCGATGACCCTGCTAACCCGCTCAACTGGCCCGCGTCTCGCAAGAACATTCATGTGGCTATTGTCAGTATTTTCACCCTGACAGCGTATGTAATATCGAAAATAGTGATAGCCCTTGATGGAAATCGTAAACTGATAGACGCATAGAAACCTCGCCGCGACGATGTTCGCGCCCGGGTCATCGGAACTAGCAGACGAATTTGGCATCACCAACAGCACCCTCGAAACCATGACCGTGAGTCTCTACGTGCTTGGCTTCGCTATTGGCCCTCTCATCCTCGCCCCTCTGTCCGAGCTCTACGGCCGCCTGATCGTCTACAACTCTTGCAACGTCGTCTACCTCGCCTTTACATTTGGATGCGCCTTTAGCACCAACACGGCAATGTTTCTCGTTTTTCGATTCATTGCTGGCAGCGCCGCCTCTGGCCCGATGAGTATTGGTGGCGGTACCGTTGCCGACGTTACTGTGCAGGCGAAGCGAGGCAAGGCCATGGCTCTTTTCACCATGGGTCCTATCCTCGGGCCGGTAGGTTGTCTTAATTAGCGTTTATTTTTCGCTTGCTCATACTTCAAATAGATCCTCGGACCCCTTATTGGGGGCTTCGTGTCTCAGTACCTCGGCTGGCGCTGGACGTTTAGAATTATTCTCATCTTGGTACGTACCCTTTATAATTAGTGTCATAGAATTTCGGCTAATTTGGGGAAAGTCTGGTATAATTACTGCTGCCACGTTTGCTCTGATGTGCGAGACAAATGCTACGATTCTTTTAAGCAGAAAGGTGGAACAGCTGCGAAAGGAAACAGGCAACCCGGATCTTGTGGCCGCCCGCGCTTCCAACCTCCCTCCGAAGCAGATGCTGCTGCGCGCCATCGTTCGCCCCCTCAAGCTGCTCATCTTGTCGCCCATTGTTCTGCTCATCTCCCTCTACACAGGTCTCATGTTTGGTATCGTCTTCCTCCTCTTTACCACGTTCCCCGCCGTCTTCCACGGCGTCTACGGCTTCGACGAAGGCATTTCCGGTCTCGCATATCTTGGTCTGGGCATTGGCATGTTTAGCGGACTCGTCCTCTTCTCCGTGCTTAGCGACAAGCTTCTTGGTCAGAAGCAGGGTGGTGCCGTTGCGGCACCTGAACAGCGTCTCATTCTCATGAAGTGGTTTGGGCCCATCACCCCGTTGGGCTGCTTCATGTACGGGTGGAGCGCCTACTACCACGTACACTGGATTGTGCCCATTATTGGAACAGCCATTATTGGTATTGGCTGCCTCTTTGTCGTCATCCCTGGCCAGATCTACCTTGTGGATGCATTCGGAGCTACGGCTGCAGCGTCGGCAATCGCAGCCAACTTACTCGTTCGTTCGCCTTTTGGCGCCTTTCTCGACCTGACTGCCTCGCCCCTATACAACAAGCTCGGTTTGGGATGGGGAAACAGCGTGCTTGGCTTCATCACTCTGGCCTTTACACCTGTCCCGTGGCTTTTCTACCGCTACGGAGGATATCTCCGAACCAAGTTTTCTGTTGATCTTTAGATGAGCGAAAAAAGGTGCCGAAAGTTTATCAAGATATGGGGTTTTATAGAGTTGAAATAATCATTTATTTGGAATTATACTGGGCTTTTCTATAGTGTTAAAAGAATCACTGGTTTGAAATTTGCAATGGGTTTTAATAAAGGAACCACTAGTTTTTAGGGCCAACATTTTTTTCCTTTTCTTTTTTTTTTTTCATCTAATAGAAACTACTAGAAACAATGAAGCTTGGTAGGAAATAACAGAAAATGAATGAAAACCAAAAACGCCAAGTCCAACCTTCTACCCTTTTTACGCCTTTAACGCTGTGACACCAGTTCTTCGCCTCCAGACGTCATCCTCAACTCCTGTGCCGCCATCAAATACGCAAATCCTGCCACTTTAGCCTTCCCAAACCAGTCCAAAATAGGCAAACTTGGAAGTTGGCGTAGATCGTCGTTTGCCTCCACGTGGCGGGAGAGTTCTTTCACAAATACTCTGAGTCTTGCTGAGTGGTAAACAACCTCCAGTGGCATGCTACCCTTTGGTTGGTCTTGGCGTTCTGTGCTTGTCAAAGCCGTCTTGCTTAAAAGGGATACAACTTCATTCAGGGGTAAGACGTCGATAGAGCCTGCAACGCCTTCAAAGGATGGGCGTGAGCCGATTCGACCCATAATCCTGGTGAGGTCTTGGAGTACTGCATCTCGATCTACGCCTCCGTTGCTCTCTCTAGAAACTCCCACAGGTCGATGAACGTACACGGGCAATTTCTTTTCCGTCGAAATCCTTTTGAGAAATCTCTCTGCTGCCCATTTCGTACCAACATACCCGTCACTGCCATCTTTGGGCGGAAGAACCTCATCCCCGTACAATGTAACGCGACCAGAGGACATGAAGTGAATAGAACTTCCTGCCAGCAGAGCAAGTCGTGCCAAAGATTTGACAGACTGCACGTTGATGGGTTGCAAATTGTGATACGAGTCCCAGAAAGACCTGTTTGCAGCACAGTGGACAACAACGTCCACATTCGAGACAATGGCTGCGTATGCATCGGAAGAGAGCCCAAGCTGGTCCAAGGTGATGTCGACTTCCACAATGGACACCTTGTTCTTGCCGTCTACCATCTGCATGCGCGCAATGTCGCGTACGAGAAGAATGATTCGCGCGACTGTCGCATCTCTGACGAGGTGGGAAAGAAGATGACGGCCAAGGAAACCGCTGGCGCCTGTTAGGAGTACCGTCAGGCTGGCGTTCTTGTGGCTACGCTGGCTCATGGTGATATTGCCAAGCGATGCAGGAATGGCCGTCTCCCAGTCCCAATCGATTTCATCACTCGGCTGACTTCGTTCGATAGCCGTCGCCATGTCAGTCAACGACGTGGCTCCCATAAGCGTGCTTAGCGTTGGCGCGGCAAGGAACGCTTGCTGCATGCTGTGCTTAAGCTTGACAAGAAGGAGGGAGTTGCCACCAACAGCAAAGAAATCCGAAAATGGCTCAAGATTGCCGGGATCAACCGGAAGAATGTCGCGCCAGAGTTTGCTCAGCGTAGCCTCTGCGCTGGTCAGGCTAACAGAGGTGGAACTGCTACCATAAGAGTCAATGGGCAACGTTTGAATAGTCTTGCGATCAATCTTGCCATGAACTGTCTTTGGAATGTCTTCCAGAATAGCAAAGACACTTGGTCGCATGTAGGATGGTAGGGGAATGGTTTGCTTAAGAGAAGCGAGCGTCTTGATCCTGTCCCCCTCAGCGTACCTGGCAGCAAAGACAAGATGCGCTGCGAGGTACTTGTCCTCGCCTTCGCCGCGCAGAGTAACCACGGCATGAGATAAGGCACCCGAGGCACATGCCATTAATACTTTTTCAATCTCTGCCAGCTCTATGCGGAAACCGCGTAGTTTGACCTGCGAATCTCCATCCAACCTCCCGTCGCAGTGTAAAAGGCCGCCTGGCAGTAGTCTGCCACGATCACCACTTCGATAGACTTTATAAGCGGTACCAAAGTATGTGTCAGCTACAAACTTGTCACGCGTCATGGCAGGCATATTCAAATACCCAGCCGCAACACCTGGTCCGCCAATGACAATCTCTCCCGGAACGCCCAGCGGTACAGGGCGCCCGTTTGGATCAACAATGCAAACAGAATATTCTGGAAACATGTATCCGGCGGGTAACGGATCTAGTAGGCTACCAGACGCGTAATCCAGTTCCCCTCTGGTGGAAAACATGGTTGTTTCGGCTGGACCGTAACCATTTACGACGCGAAGCTGCGGGAGGGATAACTCTGCGAATTTGCGAGCAAGACAATGCTTCATAACCTCGCCTCCCGAAAAGGCATGCGTCCACTTGGTGCACTTTTGCAAATTTTCGAATCCATAGCGAAGCCACATGTCGTACTCTGACGGGGTAGAGGCGGTGTACGCAACACCCTCCATGAGCATGGCTTTGGTAATCTCCATGGGATCGCCACGATGCTCGGTCGGAACAACATACAAACAACCTCCGTGAGCAACGGCGGCGAAAATCTGATCAAGGGCAAGATCAAAGCTAAACGGACTCTGTTGAAGAACCACAAAGGAATCCTCCTTGCTGTGCTCGAATGTCCTGCGAGACCCTTGGGCGGACACTAACAGGTTACGGTGGCTGAGTAGAATGCCTTTTGGCTCTCCCGTAGAGCCGCTCGTGAAGAGAATAACTGCATCGCTATCTGGCTCTGCCAGCATTGCAATTGCCTCTGGCTGGCGATAGTCCACGGTGCTGAGTGCCAATACCGTTGCACCGCCAGCATCTAGTTCGCCAGCTTGGCTAGTCATTGAGTCGTCTGTGATTAGAACATCTGGCTTGGCGGCTTTGCAGATACTCTTGAGTCGAGGAATAGAGTTGCGCTGGTCTAGTGGCAGGTACACAGCGCCAGCTTTGAGGATGGCCAGCATAGAGCAAATCCAATCACAAGACGGGTGCTGAAAAACACCCACGATGGCTCCTGGTGGGATGCCAGTCTGGAGTAGGGCCTTGCAAATGGAATCAATCCGCTTGCCCATCTCTTCGTACATCATGGCGCGACCATTGCCATCCTTTAACGCTAGCCTCGTCCCAAACTTTGTAATGCTTCCTTGGATCTGGTGACTAAGTGTAAGCCACCCCTCGGTGGCAATCGACGATGCTTTCCCTACTGCCAAAGCGGTTTCGGTGTCGAGGCGAGACCAAGACGGGACGGCACTAAACGTGGCCGTAGCAGCATCTGCCATGAATTCAATAACTTCACCATAGGAACGCAGAAGAAGATCAGCGCTGTCCTTTGTGTAGAGCGCATCTTGAAGACTTAGGCTAATCAGCGTATCCGTGTTCACATTTTCTGTAACCTCCAAGGCAATATCATAACCAGTAGATGCGTTGCGCCACTGCTCTCCCAGAAGTGCACAATCAGCCCATGTCGCTCGTTCTTGCACAACTTGCCTGTAGTCTACAAAGACTTGGAAAAGTGGCGTGTGCGTGTTGGATCGGGGGACGTTGAGATGGAGAAGCAAAACATCAAACGGTAGTTGCGAATGTCCTAGGGCGCTGTATGCTGCATCGCGAGCAGATTGCACCATTGTTGACACCGTGGCTGTTGCCTTTGGCCGCTGGAAGAAAAGAGGCAAAACATTGAGAAAAAAGCCAATACTTTCCATATACCGCTTGTCCAGACGGTTCGCGTCTGCGATGCCAATAAAGATGTTTTCGCTCTCCGGCAGCATCTGGAATAAGAGTGCTTGGAGGGCGCTGAGGTAGAAATGGAACGAGGTCACCCGAGCTTTGCGGGCAAGCAGTTTGATCTTTGAGGTTACAGCCGCGTTGATCTTTACTGTCGCCATGTGTTGACGATACGTTTTCAGAGGCTGTCGTCCCTTGACTTTAGCCAACGGCAACAGCTCAATTGGCGGAAATGTGGACGGCAGGCGCTGGCGGTAATACTTTAGATCATTTTCAAATTCGTTGTTGTCGGATGACCGTCTCTGCTGTACTGCGAACGAACTATATTGCGACAATGGGGAGATGACTGGGAGCGAAGTTTGTCGATATGCAGCCTCGAGCTGCTTGACGAAGATGCTGAAGCTATACCCGTCCAGAATAATGTGGTGAGCTCCAACAACCATGAAATGCGCTGATTGGGACAAACTGAGTAGGGAAAGTTTCATTGTCAACCCGTCTTCCAAGTTCCACCGGACACTACGCATGGAATCAAGCTCATCCACTGCTTCTCTTTCCGACGCAATCTCCTTGGTCACCAGCTCTAATAAGCTCTCCTTACGAACGCCTTGCTTGGGAATTCTATTGTCATCCTCTTCGTCCCAATAGAATCTTGTGCGCAGAATCTCGTGGCGCTGCGCAACAATCTGCAACGCAGCCTGCAGCCTGCTGCTAGAAATCGGGCCATTGAGCCTCAACATGGCTGCCATGTTGGAGGCTGTGGCATCTTCCAGGTATTCGTTTAGAAACCAGAAGCCGGACTGACCGAAAGACATGATGCTGGAAGACTCGTCAGGAACTGTACTGACGGACGCGGGGGTTGGCGCCGTACCTGGCGCCTTGGAAGGCTTTTCGGACGCAAGAGACGCTGTAGATGTTGAGAGATTCAGCGGCGTTAAATGTGTGTGAGTGCCGTCAGCAACCATCTTCGGGGTGCCGTCGATTCTGGAGTCTGGCGTTCTAGCAGAATTAACGGACGCTGAGGAGGAAGCCGATTGTTGGGGCGATGCACCGACCGCAGTCTCAATGCCGTCTTTGAGCTGAGACAAATCTACTACGGATGGAGGAAGCAGAGAGATGGCATCTCCCAACAGGTCCACGACGGAGCTGCCTCCCAAGATTTTCAACACCGGGATGTCCAAGTCCAGCTCTTTGAGGAACCAGGTACGGACTTCCACGGCCATGAGCGAATCAACGCCTTGCTCCACAAGCGTGACTAATTCATTGATGGGCTCATCTGCATCAACAGCCAGAATTCGTCTCAGTCGAGCAAGGAAAGATTCTGGCAAATGTTAGCGCATCATAGCCCCATTGAAGATTCGTATAACTTACCCTTGATGACAGATGTTGCCTCTGCTACCGTCTTGATGCTAGCTAGCTGGGTCCTAACGGAGGCAGACGCCGTCTTACCCGTCTGATGACCAGAAGTAGAGCGCTCCAATACAAAATGACCAAACTTGACGTCTTTGAGATACTGGCCCTTGAATTGGCTGTCGGCATAAATCGGAGTGACACCGGTAGACAGCTCACAGACTCCCGATACGTCAGGGCGTCCAAGCAAAATAGCCTCTGCAAATAAGCAGTGCACATCTTGCTCCGACATTGGCTTGTAGCCCATGTTGGTGAAGGTTTCGGCGCTGAGGTCTTGGGCGCGCTCGACATAGCCAATACCGATGACTGAGCTGATGTTGATGGATGAGGCCGCAACGCCTCTGCGCTTCCTTTGTGATGCGAGCGCATTCATAAACATGTTTCCGGCAATGTAGTTGCTCTGGCCACTGTTGCCCATGACCGCCGTGGTTGAAGAGAAGAAGATGAAGAAGTCAAGAGGCGTGTCGTAGAAGAGCTCGTCGAGCAGCTGTGAGCCGCGGACCTTTGGCTTAAGCACTCTGTCAAAAGATGCAAAAGACATGTTGTCAAAGAGACCATCATCGAGAATCATAGCACCATTTGTGACGCCGATAATTGGTGGCATAGTTTCCACGATCCTATTATGGCAGTTGAAAATAGAGTCACGATCCGTAATGTCCCTGAAAATAGATTGTCAGCAGTCACTCCAGAGCTAGGAAATACGGTACTCACATTGCGAAGCAGTTTACAACCATTCCCATCTTTTGCATCTCTTCTTGAAAGGCGGAACTCAACGTTGGCTTGCGGCTGGTAAGTGCAATGTACTTTGCACCACGGGTTGCCATCCATTTGCAAAGGGATTGGCCCAATTCACCTGTTAAGCCTGCCAGCAAATAGGTGCGGTCTGCTCGGAAGATACTACCGCCATCAATCGGCCGGATGGAAATTTCCACTGCAGTATCCTCACATTCTGCAACCGCAAACTGTGCAGTCGTTTCCATGCCAGCAGCAAGTTGCTGCACTGGTATGGTAGCAAAATTGGCATGTTCGAGTTTGACGACCCCAGCGTTATTGATAGAGGAGAAGGCCGCGGCTAGGACGGACGACACGTCCTTCTCAGCCACAAACGGCCGTACCTGCGTGCGCGTATTCCACAGGAAGCTCGTGTCGATTGACTGACACGATACCGGCAAGTTTGCGGCCAATGTATTGCCAGTACTAGAGTCTTGGGATAGATCAACGAACTTGTTGGCATCGGAAGGTAGACACTGGCGAACAAGGCGGTGAGGAAGGCTTTGAGGAATATAGATCCAGTCGGCAGGACAGTCGTGCTTGGTAGAGGTTGTGAAGACAGGTCGGGCCGCCAAAGCTTGCATCTTCTCTCGCAAAACACCAGCAATTCGAGGGTGCGCCTCGTGAATGATAACTGTGTCATCTTTTCCAAGGTAGTACTTATAATGCTTTCCGCAAATAATTGTGCAGATAGCAAACCAAGGGCAACGATGACATCTCTCTCACATGGATGGCACCATGAAGCAGGCACAGAAACGGGAGACTCGGTAGCGTGGGAAGCAAAGACTAGCCGTTCTCCATTGGCAACGTCGACTCCAACGCCAAGCAACAGACGACAGCCTTGGACGATTTCGACAGTTGAGAGCAAAAAGTGTGTGACGGAGAGAGTTCGTCTGGCCGTTGTGAAAGGTACAGCAGGCGTCACGTGCAATGGGGACGCTCCCTCCATGTGCCATTTGCCATCATCCGCAGTAAGCATGATCCTAGTCTTTTGGAAATTCCGCGTCTCTTTGACCACACGGCGAGCAGTATTGTAGCGATTGTTTCCGTCCAAGTAAGGGTATAGTCGTGGGATGATGGCCGTGGTATTCTCAATGTAGACCTCCGGCTCCATCGTCCAGAGCAGTTCCTCAGGCTCCAATTCTCTCGACCATTTATCCAATAGCTCCAAGCGAAGAAGATGCTCAGCAATAATGTAACAGGCACCCTCATTGACAACATCAATATCCAGCGCTTGTATATTGATGTTGGGGTACTCGAATCGCACGCAACGACCCAGACCAAGAGACATGTAACCAAAGGCATTGTCAGAGCGGGCTCCCGATGTCACCCAGAGGATGTTGCCACTTCCTCGCCAGAGAGCCTTTAGCCCGTCCATGATGTGCGGCCCAAAGGAAGAGAAGACTGGTGTGTCGAGCTCAGCGAGTGACAGCACGGTGCTTGACTCACTCAGCGAGGCTGCGGCAAGGTCAGCGACGGTGTTGAAGCGCACAACGTAGTCGAATCTCGAGGCAAGCAGAGAGGAAAGCTTTCGACAGAGTCTGTGAACATTGAGCGTCTCACCGCCGACAATGACGAGCTGCGAAGCCTTCGTGGGAGGCAGCGTAGTGATGTCGCTCAACGGTGATCGCAACATAGAGACACGGTCATCGACAGCTTGCGCGCAAAAAACGTGGCCGGGGAGAATCTTATGAACGGGCGGCGTCGTGCTGTCAATACCATCAAATCCACACTTGTGCAACAGAGAATCCCATTGTGGAAGAGTCAAGGTAGGACCCCAACGGCGTCCAGTCTCTGCGCCGAGCCACCATCCTGAAAGCGTGCCCATGGGCAGCCCAACGCGAAGGCAGTCGTTGTTGACGGTCTCCAAGATGATTACGAAACCACCAGGCTTCAAGAAGCTTCGGACATACGTCATCATCTCTTCCAGCCCAAGTGTTGCGTGTAAAACGTTAGAGGCAATGACAAGATCGTAGGATCCCTCAGTGAAGCCCTGGGAAGCTGGACTGTTGTTCATGTCGTAGGTTCTGAAGATTATGCGGTCTGCGTAATCGCGAAAGCGTTCTTCTGCAACCTCAAAGAAGCCGCTCGAGACATCGGTATAGGTGTACGTGGAAAAGGCCGATCCGAGCCTCGGCAGAACCATTCTTGTCGAACCACCAGTGCCGGCACCTGTGGTAAGGTTAGTTCCGTTCTACAAATTCATAGACCGACAAGATTCTTACCAATTTCTAGAATATTCATTCGCGGGTATCTATGGGCAATCTGCAAAGCCATGTCCGCAATGTACTCGTTGACAAGATTCAATCCAAAACCCTCCTCGTACACGTCATCGAGCATGCCATCCTTGACCATGTGTTCCAGAATATTGGACTTGTCGCGAATACATTGGGAAAGATTGTTGCCCACAGACTCCAGAAGACGAACATCTGTTCGGTGGTAGTGCCTGTGTATTTTGTCAGCAGAGATGATGTCAGTAGTGAAGGGGAATCACCGACTTTTGAAGCAGCTTGTCAATATCTGCCCGCGTATCATGTTTGGCAGAGGCTGGGATATGTGCATTGGAGCCGTTTAATACTTGAGGAACCACGAATGCGGCCCAGTCGAGCAGATGGCGGTAATGCCACAATGTGTCAGCCTTTTCTTGCGCGGTAATGGTGTCGACGAGGTGACGCAAGTAGTAGAACGAGATGCGCTCGGAGTCCGTGGCAGTGGTCAGATCTTCTGCCTTGAATTCGTGCTTTGCTGCCACCGCATCGCCATCCGGTAGCGCTATCTTGTAATTGAAGCGGGAGAAGAGCACCGCATCATTCTCGGGCAAAGCTGGCGTCAACGGCGTGAGCTGCATGCCCTCGATTTGAATAGCAGTGTGACCAGAATCCTGTGCCAAGAGATTAAGCTCCGTAATAACCTTACCTTTGGAGTAATTATGGGCGACGGAAATAAAATCAAACTGCTTCTGCTTGCCAGTACCTAGCGGCGTGTAATGGGGATTGATGACAATGGATCTAAAGCTGGTCGGCACGTGCAGTGCCCACATCCTCTCATCTCCGGGGCATGAAAAAGCGGCAAAGGTGGTTTGCAGAGCAGAATCAAGCATGCCTGGGTGAACATTGAGCTCATCTTCCCATTCTGATGTTGAAGCATCTTCCACGATTCCGGTAGCATAGCCAGCCTTGCGCTGAATTTTAGCAGTGCCACAGAATGGCCAGAAGTAGTGGTAGCCAAGCGAGCTTAAGAACGTGTAAAATCGATCAATGGTGACGTCGCTCATGTTGTGAGTCTGAGCCTCGATTTTGGGGAGTGTGTCATAAGCTTGCGAACCAAACGTCGCTCGAATCACACCGCTGGCGTTCAAAGCCAAGACAGTTTTGTGGTCGTGTGGAGAACCCGAGCTGCATGAGAAGTATGCTTCAATATGATCATCACTTTGCGCCTTAATGTTCAAGTCAAACGTCATCTCCATGCTCGCGTCGTTATCCTTGAATGCCATGGCTCGGCCGATTTGCAGGTTTTCAATGGATACCAAGGAAATCTTTGCATCTCTAGCAAGAATAGCGACAGCTTCGACGGCCATGGAAATGTATCCAGTCGCAGGGAAGACAATCTGGCCCTGGATCTGGTGCCCGTGTAGCCAGGACAGCTCCTTTGGCCGGAGAACGTTGCGCCACTGGACGCTGTGCTGTCCTTCTCTGTCAAAGCATCTCTTGCCGAGCAGCGGGTGGGGGGGTGCTGTGAGGCTGTTATGAACACCGGATCTTCTGGAAAAAGACATGAAGGTCTTGTTGTGATCAAAGCAATACTTGGGTAGATCAGGCACGAGGCGCCTTGCAACGGAGGATTGAGAGATGACCTTTTCAAAAGCGTCAAAGTCGACTGAGTTGGGGCCAAGCTGTGTCCAAATGAACCCGAGACTGTTGGAAAACTCCTGAATATCGTCCTTTGTGCGAGCCAAAACGCCACTGTATGGCGGCTGGTAGGCCGCAGTCTCTTCAATGCTGTCCAGACACGGTGTTTTGAGGACTGGATGCGGGCCAACTTCAAGCACGAGATCAAACGCACCGTCTGCCCATGCATGCTGAACGGCTGGGGCAAACAAGACAGGTTGCGTCATATTGTTGATCCAGTACTGCCAAGAGAGCTTCTTGGACGACATGACCTCTCCTTGAAGAACACTTGAGTACCATTTGGTGCCCGTTGGCTCCGAAATTTCAGGCGTGCACTGCTGCATCGCCGCAAGGTAGGGCACAGCGCAAGGAATAACGTGAGACGAGTGATATGCCGTGTCCACCTTGAGTTGGCGGGCAAACTTGCCTTCCTCCTTGAAGACTTCTATAGCTTCGGCTATGGCATCCTCATCTCCAGAAATCGTGAAGCTGGACGGCGAGTTTTGAGCGGCGATTTGGATTCGCCCCCTGAAATCTTCCAGTTGACAAAGCTGAGAGACATCTTCGAGAGTTGAACCAACGGCCATCACTAGGGGCTGATCAGTACCCTATTCAACAACATTTTTCAGAATTACTCACTAGCTCCAGGTTTACCATTGGGCGAGGAAGCCAACTTGGCGTAAAGACCACGGAAATACGCAATCCTGATGGCATCTTTGTCAGACACCAATCCAGCAGCATACGCGGCGCCAATTTCGCCTAGTCAATATGTTAACCATATGATTCAGGTGACGCAAGCAATGTAAATCTTTACATACCGGAAGAATGACCAATGACAGAGTGGAAAGAAATGGCTGCCGCGTGAAGAAGATCAACCAAAATTATTTGTATCGCAGTGCACATTGGCTGCGATATGGCCGCCTCTGCCACGCGAGAGGAGCCTTCGAGAGCGATAATCATTTCTCTTAGTGTCCATGTGGGGCGCTGTTCGGCAGAGAGATGACTGAGGATAGTCTGCAACTCATCCAGACGTTTGGCGCAAAAAGGAGACTCCTCGAGCAGCCTAGCGCCCATTCTAGCCCACTGCGAACCTTGGCCTGTAAAGACACCGAGGATCCGGGCATCTTTCTTGACGAGATGCTTGGTGCCAAGCGCGGAATCTCTTTCTCCCTGCAAAATGGCGTCAATCTGTACCCTCGCGTCCGCAGTAGAAACGGCAGAAATGGCGACTCTGTGCGCAAGGGTCGAGGTTCGCAGCTGCAGAGAGTAGGCAAGATCATGTAGAGAAACTTTGGGATACGTGGATAGATAGGTCGAGTATTCTGCGAGAAGAGCACGTAGCGATTGTTCAGATGAGGCAGAAAACGTCAAAGGCGAAAATACCGGACCTGCTGCGACCGAGGGCACGTATGGTTTATAGGACTCGAGAATGGCATGGGCGTTAGTGCCGCCAAAACCTGGATAAGCAAAGCATTAGTCCAAGATTACAGTAAAGAGACGATAGCAGCCGCATCTTACCAAAGCTGTTGATGCTGGCACGCTTAGGCTGGCCTGGGAATGTTTCCGGCCACGGCTTGGCCTGCGTGGGAACTTCAAGATTGTTGTAAAATGGGGCCAGACGCGGGTTCAATGTATTAAAGTGCATGTTGGGAGGGATGACACCGTGGCGAAGTGCGAGAGACGTGCCGATCAGACTGGCCAGGCCGGCTGTTCCCTCGGTATGGCCGATTATGGTCTTGATGGAGGCAACGTAGAGCTTATCCTGGACATTTCTGTTCTCGTAAAATGCTCGCCAGACGGCTTCGGCCTCTTGAGGATCACCCGCAGCGGTACCGGTACCGTGGGCATGGAAGAACTGTGGTCGACATGCCGGATCATCAAGGTCAAGTCCGGCCTTGGCGTACGTGCTTCGGATGAGGTCTGCCTGAGCGGCTGCGCTAGGCATGGTAATACCTTGGGTGCGACCGTCTTGGTTCACTCCCGTGTTTCGAATCAAACACTCGATTTTGTCGTTGTCCCGCAAGGCAAGGCTGAGAGGCTTGAGCACGACGGCAGCAATGCCCTCACCACGGGCATAGCCATCGACATTTTTATCCCACATGCGCGATCTTCCGGTAGGAGAAAGCATAGATAACTTGCTTTCTGCAATGTACATATCTTTAAAAATGCGCGGTTAGTATATATCTATCGTCACCTAATATATCATTTTTCTTACCTGGCGTCAAAATAAGGTTGGCTCCAGCGGCGACCGCGACTTGCGAGTCACCACTTCGAAGAGACTGAATAGCCTGGTGCACGGCGACAAGACTAGAGGAGCACGCCGTATCGATGGTCATGGATGGGCCATGCCAGTCGAAGAAGTAAGAGATGCGGTTGGCCATGATGCTGCGGGCCATCCCAGTAGCACCATACTGAGGAAACACATCTAAATCTTTGGCAATCACACCGCTCCAGTCGTCGCACATGAGGCCGACATAAACCGATGTGGGAGAACCGCGAAGGTCTTCGATTTTCTGTCCAGCAGCGCATAGTGAATCGTAAACAGTTTCCATCAAGATTCTCTGCTGGGGGTCAATAGCTTCTGCCTCTCCTGGCTGAATACTAAAGAAGCCATTTTCAAAGGAGCCCACATCCTCGTCGAGAAAGTACGACTGGCGGACGTTGGTAGTTCCATGGTGCATGGGATCGGGGTGATAGAATGCGTCAGCGTCATAGCGCTCCTGGGGAACTGATCGCAGCAAGTCATGGGGAGACTTGAGAATATCCCATAGCTTTGAGGGTGTGTCTGCTTCACCGGGGAATCGGCAGGCGCTGCCAATCACGGCAATTGGTTCGTTCATGTCCATTATAATAGCTTGACACGTTGGGTGTCTGGTGGACGTTGAGTTGGAGATGTGCTAAAGCGTTGAGACTAAAGATACAACCTTGGAAGAGGGAGAACTCGATTGATGAAAAGCCGTATTGGTACTGCTATTTGCGCTTTACATTATATATAGAATGCAGGCGTCTGCAGGCGTCTGCAGGCCTCTGCAGGCCTCTGAATGTGTGCTTCAGCATCACCGTACCTAGGTATTATCTCTCCGTGCCGTCCACGGGTGCCGACGCATTCGGACCCGGCAGCCGACAGCGTTCGGAGCCCACGCCGAAAGATCCCCGGTGGGCCAAGACGCACACAGAATGGCATATGTATACTCCTGACAAGTCATGCCACTAACCAAAGTTACAGATCAGTAATTCCGAGCTTCTAGCTACAGTCACAGACCGCTTCAACATGGCGAGCAACATATTGCACTTTACAAATGACGGAGCCTCTGTCGCAAAGGGCCCTGTCTCGCCAGCCGCCCACATCCCAGCGTCTGCCAACATCTTTCCCAAGTTTGAAAAATCAATTAGCAAGGATGGCTGGGAACTGTGGTTCTTTGATTGCGTTTCTCCCGAACTGCGCGCCGCCGTCATCGTCGGTCTGAACAGAACCGCGCAAGATGGGACTGGGGATGGATTCAAGGTGCAGGTCACGGCTATCTGGCCCGACTCAACAACATGGCATCGCGACTTGTATTTTACGGAGTCCATTTTTGAGACGACATCTTCAGAGACTCGCGGTGTATGGCGTGACACCGCCAAAGCTGCGAGCGTTAGTTTTGTGTCTTCAGACGACGACCGGAATATTTCTTTGCTATTTGACGTCCCGGGCATTGTTGACGGAAATATGCAGCAACAGGCGTTACCTGGGGACACTGGGCTGGACTCTGATCCTACTTTGGGTCCGTCGGTGCATTATGTGCGGCCTATTGGGCGTGCTTCTGTTACGGCTCATATGCGCCTTTTCGGTGATGCGGCTAACGAAGCTCGCACGTTACAACTGGGGACGCGAGACCAACCCGTCAACGGAGGTGTCGATCGCGTCTGGTCATTGGGAACATGGCCGCAGATTATGACGGAGTCATACTACCTGAGAACGCATGTCGGCCCATACGCCATCCAAATCATGCGCATTTTCTCGGACATGGCCAGTGGCAACCAGCCTTATACAATGGCACGACTATATCACGAAGGGAAATTGATTTGTGCTGCACAAGATGTTATTGAAGAATCTGCACAGACACCTCAGAAGCACTCCCTCGTGTTGACTAAGGTGTACAATGGCCAAGATGATGAAAGTGTTCGGGGCAAGTTTGTGGACCAGAACACCGGATACTCTGTGGTATTCATCGATCAAGAGATCGGTAAGAGGTGGAAGTTCCAGGTTACTCATGATAGGATAGTTTGGAATATCCCAACAAGCGCTCTTGGACCAAATGCCACGGGGAATACGGGTTTTATTGAGAGAGTGGTTGGTGGCCTGGATGGGGAAGCCTTTACAGGCATTGGAACTGGTGGCCAATGTCAGCTATAATCTAGTATCATTCATTTCGCGCATTTCATATCCAAATATACTCAAAATATTAACAGTAAATATTACCAGTAACGTAGTGGATAAGCGGGTCGGCCAGACAAGGGGGTCGGCCACATTCTAGCAACTACCGTACAAGAACGCATGTCATTCCAAGGTTAAAACGGAAAAAAAATGTCAACTCAGAAAATGTGCCGAAAATCCACGTATTTTTACCGTTACGCAAAAAAGGTGCACACCTTAGTAAGGCTTGTTCGTAGTAGATGTCCGTTCCGACAAAAAATTACAATATTGAATTTATTTAGAAGCTTCGTCTTCAGAGGTTTCTAGATAATTCCGACACGTATAACTATGGCCAAAAGATAAGAAAACAATCTGGTATAATAAATTTGGGCACCCATCAGTTGATAAGTACTAGCGACATGCAGTAGCAACCAGATCCCTGTTATAGAAAGGCGATATTGGACATGAAATCCTTTCTGAAGGACACTTCGATCTGCTTGACAGAAGTGAACATGGTGCAGTAAGGTCGGGTTTCAAAAATATTTCATTTGCTGCTCCACACTACTGAGTGACATAAAAAGTTATTATGCCTTAGTCTTCAATTATCAATCAAACGCTTATGCCGTATCTAAGTTACTGATTTGTTTTGCAGCTGATATCATGTCTATTGAAAGATTTTGGCACACAAATATCGCTTTAGTTATGATTGAAGTTCAATTCAAGCACAGACAAAATCTATTCGACATTAAAATGAGCTGGTGATTAGCAATGGACTTGATTTTTATCTTCACTTACCCAAAACAGAGAGCAACAAATGACTCCAAGTATTGGTATGGTATTCGGACTAGATTTGGATACATGTTGTGACACGCCAGAGCACGGACAGTAGGCCCAGAGATCGCCTAACGATATACACACCTTCAATCAATCAACTGATTCTATTAGACCTATTCAGTAATAGCCAGTACATCAATTCCTTGTCCTACAAAAAAATTAAATCTGCCTTAAAGGTAACGGTTGCTTACTGCTAGCCAAACAGCCCCTTCAATAATTTGATTAAAGTATATCAATGAGTTTTCAAAGCTTACAGGGGTAGAAAATAGCACAGAAGCCTTTACCACAGGGATCATGTCGTAACGACAGCGATCGTACCACGCTGCGTAGGAACCAGGCTTGATTTCCTATTCGCTTAAGCAACACCATGCAGGTAAGCCGGAGAGGCCCACCCATTGCCGACCTTGATGCATAACCGGAGAAGTTCGGCGCAACGGCTTGGCAGCCTTACCCGAGGCTTAATTTCCTATTCGGCGTACGCAGCAATATGCAGGTAAGCCGGAGAGGCCCACCTATTACCCGTGGACCGACCTTGATGCATTACCGGAGATATTCGGTGCAACAGCTTCGCAGCCTTACCGGGAAGCCAACCGATGCACAGCCCGCCCAAGCATATGTATCGATAATGGGGTTAGAGCTTATAGTAAACAGTGACATGTCGCATGTATGACCTGTAGGGTGTATTTACCACCTGGGCAGTTTGAACTCTCCACAGCCATGTCGACAGAATTCCAAACAGCGCTCGTCGGCACCGCTGACGGATCAATATGCCTGTCGACCACGGCACCTATACCCAAGATAATAAGCAACAGCGTTCTCATCAAGATCAAAGCTGTCTCCGTCAACCCAGTCGATTCCAAAATGGTTGGCGATTACGTCACAGAAGGCGCTGTGGCCGGGTTTGACTTTGCCGGCGTGGTGGAGGAAGTTGGACCAGAGGCGACAGAGTGCGACATACACGTTGGCGACCGCGTCTGTACCGCCATCATGGGCATGAACCCAAATGACCCGGGCGTCGGCGCCTTCGCCAATTACACAGCAGCGGTCGAATGGATATTGCTCAAGATCCCACCCAGCCTCAGCTTCGAAGAAGGAGCGTCGCTCGGTATCAGCTTGATGACGACTGGTCTCGCGCTCTTTAAGAGCCTCGACGTTCCAGGATACCCGCTCGAGCCCGGAGCTCGCAAGATTACCGTCTTGGTATTTGGAGGTTCGTCTGCCACGGGTACCGCCGCCATCCAGCTGCTCAACCTTGCCGGCTTTGACGCCATTGCAACATGCTCGCCTCACAACTTTGATCTCGTCAAGTCCTACGGACCGTCTGCTGTCTTTGACTACCAGGCTCCCGACTGCACTGAATCGATTCGCCAGTACACCAAAAGCAGCTTGAAGTACGCTCTCGACTGCATATCTACAGCCACCAGCATGCAGTTTTGCTACCGCGCGCTCGGTCGCTCTGGCGGCAAGTACACCTCGCTCGAGCCATACTCGGAAGCCGTAGCTCAAACGCGTAAACTCGTGAAGCCCGACTGGATTATGGGACCACAACTACTGGGTAAAGAGATTGCTTGGCCGAAGCCTCACTGGCGAGCACCGGATGCCGAGTTGGGGGCATTTGGAGCGAAATGGACAGCTACCTTACGGAAGCTTCTAGACCGCGGGCTTATACGGCCGCATCCAATCATTACACGAGAGGGTGGGCTGCGCGCAGTACTGACGGGAATTGACGATATTCGAGAGAAGAAAATATCAGGAAAGAAGCTAGTATATTCTTTGGACGAATAACCTATAGTCCACAAATATAACAGCTAGGTTTTAAAGTCGACTGCCACTTGTGGCACGCCCTATATTGGCACAAACTCACTATCGGCACCAAAATTGGTTGGATGGACCCATATAGATCACCCGCGACTAGACCTCTGCATAGCCCATCAACGGGCCCAGACCCCCGGCCCAAAGCCCAACCCACAGCCTATTAATAGGGGCCCATCAAAGCCCATCAAAGCCCATTTCTGTACACAAATACAGTCTTGGCATATAGTTATAAAGTAGATGATTAATAACTGTATTTTACGTAGGTACCAACCTATATCTTTAGTATTATTATATTATCATAGTAAGAAGTAGGAATTAAGTGGATTTTATACTGGTTTTAGCATTATGATACTAGTTTTTGTATAAAATTTCATATAAAATAACCCTAAAAAGATCCAATTTAACTATGAATTCGTATCTAGAAGGAATTACTAAGTATTAGCGTGAAGAGACATATATTATCTATAGTGGATTGATACTACTTTCTATAATTAATTGTAGTAATACTTAACGTATTTCACTACCGAGTGGCCACCTACTACCGAGTGGCCACCCTAAAACACCATAGTTAGTAAATGCGATATTTTATAACATTATATCTTAGCAACCACGTTATTATTTGATTTTATTGTTATTCGATAGCTATCGATAAGACTTATTAATATATTATATCAATTTTAGAGAAAGCCTAATACTATATTATCGCTATTTCAAAAAATACCGAAAATTACATTGTAAAAAGCTAGAAATATATAACGTATTCGGTAAGCGAGCTGCGCACCCCAGAACACATAGTAAAAGCGATAAATTACAATATGATAATTCAACAACGGTTGTTTATATGAGCTTTTCTTTGTAGCCTAATGCTTTTTATATGATATCTAGCCACTTGTTAGAGTTTAGGTGAACTTAATAAATTAGTGACTGAGATATATATATTTCTGGAGTTCAGAGATATATTTTTCAATACCATAACAATGCAAGTTCTCAATTTATTCAAAATTGATATATGATGCTAAAGATACTTATCAATTGCTATCGACAAGAAATGAAATTAAATAAAAGTGTTGGTTGTTGAAATATCATGTTGTAATTTATCGTTTTTACTATGTGTTCTGGGGTGCGCAGCTCGCTTGCCTGCGCAGCTCGCTTACCGAATACGTTATACCTTAATCACTAAGTCGTATATACTCCTAAAAGTCCGTAAAGAGGCTATATATCACCTAAATATCATTAAACTATTAGGAGATTTCTATATAGAGTACCGTTGTTAAGATATCAAGTTGTAATTTATCGGATTTACTATGGTGTTTTGGGGTGGCCACTCGGTGGTAGTAGGTGGCCACTCGGTAGTGAAATACGTTATAGTACCTCTACTTACTATATAAACCCTAATAAAAATAAATACCTCTTATAAAAAAGTAAAGCTTTATAAAAATCTATTTTTATTCTTATTTTTCGGCCTCCTAGTATCTATTACTTAATATCTTATAAATCAAATCAAATCAATCAGTCCTATCAGTTAATTTATAAGTGATGTATATATAGCTTTATATACGGCTTAAACGGTAATTTCAATACCCCTAAAGAATAGGAAAAAAAATACATTAATTATACAGCTGCGATAGATTAGCATGTTTGTATTGTTTGGTTAATAATAAGGGCCGATTATAGGCCCCAATGGGCCCTATGGGCTCGGTGGATGGGCGCATAGCCGGCCGATGGGCTCGAAGGGTGGGCCCAAAGCCCAACCCATTAGTGGGTTGGGTTGGGTTGGGCTATGGGCTTTATGGGCTATGCAGAGGTCTAATCAGACCGAAGGCAATCAGACCGAAGGTGGAGAGGTGCTTCAATTAGGGTAATATTTATCAGAGCTTGACGGATAGCCTGACTAGGGCTACAGGGAATGATGCTCAGGAATTCAAATCTTTAGATGAATTCCTAGACCCACCAGATGAGGACGATACTTATAAGCCCGATTTGTCTGATATTATCCTCGATGTATCTGGTACTAGTGATCAGGATAACCAGGCCGATGACGAAGATATATTTGGGCCTCCACCTATTGTACACTCTGATGCTAAGGCTATTAGTCTCTTGCATGACCTTGCAGAATGGGCTGGGCATAAAGAAGGCGTTACTGAGGAGCATATTCGTCGGACAGAGGCCTTGATTAGTGATTTTACCAAGCTATAGGTGGATGGGAGGAAGCAGAGGACACTGCCAAAAATGGGATTCCTTCCAAAATAGGAAATCAAGTTTGTCGAAATATATTATGTTATCATTCAATATAGGCACACTACTCAGGATAGCACACATTTTCTTTTGAATAATAGAGGTGTGCCACTGGTGGCAGTCGACTGTATTGATAACGAGTACGTCTGGATTTGCCGGTATGTCTCTCTCCTCCAGGGTGTTTGTGAGGTCTCAGGCGAGTCATCGCTTGCACCAAATATATTTCTACAACATCGTCGCGTAGGGTCTGTTTTCGAGTCACACAACTCCGTCGTGTTCGAAAGACGACGCGTAATCCAAGTACGAATCGACCAAGGCTGCATTCAATGAAAGGTCCATGGGAGTTGGCAAGGTCTTCGTAGTATGGTGCTTAGTCACTGCCCTAGGATTATCGACGCGAAAGAATAGGATGCTATATTATCATAGTGGTTACACTTCTGTATTGCAAGCTAGATATCGGATCATATCTCGCTTTCACTAACGTAATTTTCAATACTATAATAACAAAGCTAATCGATTTTCTTAAGTTTAATATATAGTGTTTTAAAACCCTTATCAATAGCTATCGGTCCTTCGATTCTGTGAAAGGTCTGGCAGATCAAAGCGAAGCTAGTACTCCGCACATGTACAAAGGACACACATATGCACCGAGCTATCTCCTATTGACCTCGGGATGTTGAGGAGCATGGTGGGGCTATGGAGGATACCCTGCCAAGTCTACCCAGGTCCTCGGGTGTACCTGCTTTTCAGGCATGGACGAAACCCAATAAGCAAAGCGAATACGCTGTATAATTGGTGTGGGACTGCAAGCCTACTACAATGTTCGTTGCGAGCTGTCATTTTGTTTCCCTATTCAATTTACCTGGGCGCTCTTATAGACTTACTGATCAGCTAGTCATTTCCTTACCTTCTTCCATGTGACATCTACTTCCCATAAATCGATGATCTCATTCCAAGGTTGCAACGCTCGGATCTCTACCTCAGATACGTCATGCTCTAGATTCCTTGACGACCAAAACAGTGAATTCGCTACAGAATACAAACTCGCATGCTTGAATGAAGCCAAATCGAATATTTACATATCAAGTTGCACAGTGCACATGTTTAATCAAGTGGAAAGGCCTCCAGGGCAAACTTACTTCCACTGAGCAGGCTTGGTATCCTGGAAAGTCTTCAGGATGGCGATCACCTTCTCCAAGGCAGCGACCTCCTTGGCAAGCTCGGCAGTAACCTTGGCCTGATCCTCGCCCAGCTTCTTGTAAAAGTCCTTGCGGTATGGGGTGGCAGACATGGCAGCACTGAAGACAGGCTTGACAATCCAGGAGTGGTGGGGCTTGAGGGTTTGGCCGTAGGCATCGCGGAAGGAGTCGGCGAGTTCCGAGGAGGAGTTGTCGATGTTGTGACGGAGGGCTTGGACGGTAAAGTCGAGGCCTCTGTTGAGAAGAACCAATGATCAGTCAATGGTTCATGCAGATTTATGGAAATGGAAGGGATGCCATTGCAATTGGTGTCTTCCATCCCAATTGAGACATGTGGACATACCGGACCAGCCAGACCAGACCTTCAGTGGCAACGTGCTTGCCGGTCTTCAATTCGTTCAGGACAAGGGCCTGCAGGGTCTCAGACTCCGCAGGAGCTGCCTGCTGACGCTCACGAACTTTCTGAACGGGGTTTTAGAATGTGTTGACACCGGCGACATAATGTATTGGACGAACCTTGATGTTACCGAGCAGGTCATTCTTGACCGGAGTGAAGGCGGCAGAACCGAGGACGTCTACAAAGTTCCTGCATTAGGTCGAGGTAGGTCTATGCAGGGGAGCAGCACGCACCAAAGAGAGTCACCAGCGACTCAGCGGCCTCGAGGAAATCGGTAGTCGAGATGCCATTCTCCGCATTAATAGGGACATCAGCGAAGGACTTTTTGATGGTATCAAACCATGTTCCGTCAGCGGGGATAGCAGCCATTTTTGTAGGAATTCAGGTGGAAACTAGATAGTCGGAGAAAGAGAAAAGAGCTTAATCAGGAGACCGTTGGATGGTGTCAACTTCACCGCTGCTGCCACGCAAGCCAATAATGGCGGGGCACACGGGATATAGTGAGGCTGCAAACAGTGTAAACAGTACCAACACGGTGAAGTGTCAACAACTTGTTTGCGATGTTTGCAGCATTTGCATAGATCTTGCAACGACGTCATCGAACCACATTACATCGAGATTCGCGATCGCGCTATGAACCTTACTTGGGGTTCGTCGGTGCCTGGGCAATTTATTTGTTCCTGCATATGTCTGGGGCATGCCCTTTTGGTCCACGAGGGTACTACATAGTAGATTGTCATGACCTCTTCACCGGACCAGGCCAATGGGTCGCGACCAGAAACTGACCCAAGCTCGTCATACCATGAACATTATCATGGCTTGCAGACTGGCTCATACACAGACCAGCAACTGGTATGTCTCTGTTCCCTGGGGGTTGAGTTATAGAACTGACCTGGTGCTCTTGGATAGCGTCATGCTTCTGCCAACCATTTGCATATGACGAACCGGCGATTTTTCGTTGGTCCAATCCCAGAAGGCTGGCTGCAAGGTCATCGCAAGTCCTGGTATAAATCTCGACTGAAAGTCAGGAACTATACATCACAGAACATCTCCTTCTCTGCAGGCCCTGTTGCGACCCACTACGGCGAACATGGCGATCGGCCCGGCCCATCGTCACCCGATTTAGATGAGGAGGTTACCCTAGCGCTCACCAACACAAGCACGCAGGCCGCCGAGGAGCAATATGATGAGATCGAAACAGAGGCACGGGAGGAAGCGGCAGCAGAGCCTGTGGGGGAACTGCAGACTCTAACCCACCCTGAAGCCGAGGCCAGTGGTGACGACCCCTTGCCGGAAGAGGACACAGAGACGAGGGAAAATAGCGGGCAAGATAATGAGGAACATAGTGAGGGGGGTAGCGGGGAGGATAGCGGAGAGGATACAGACAGCACACCCAAAGCCAGAACAAGGGGGCAATATGACATGTACGGCAACGATGTTGCTTCGTCTTCGTTTGTCACCGCCAGAGAAGAGGTCGCCAGCTCTGCAGACACGGTACAATCAATAGCCACGATACGAGCTAGCAGATTGGAACCGCCTGAGCGGAGACCAAAGTCCCGGGACTCACATAACACAAATTTGACGGGTCATTCCTCTCCCAACCCTATGACCCCTAATCCATCCGCGGTTGCGAGCGAAACCGATTCGACCACACAGCTTCTTCGAAGCAGGTACAAGGACAAAGGGAAGCAAAAAAGCAAGGCATCTGGTATATCTCGGGCAACACTTCAACACCACGACCCACAAGATGAAGATGATACTGGCGAAGATGCGCAGGCCCAACAGAGACTCACTAGGAAGATGGCAAAATTCAACCTGGATGACAACATCAGACACAGACAGCAAAAGATGCGCTCCAAGATTGCAAGGACCCAAGGTACTATCTCTGCCAATCGACCGCACCGACGGAAGGTGCAAGATGGGGAGATTGTCAAAGCAGAAAAAATGTTGGTCTGTGTGGAAGAGACTGTGCAGGACACACTTCCTGCCGATTACACCGAGAATGACAGCCTGCGCATGGAAACACGGACCGTGGACAAGTGGAGGGAGTTCCTCGTCGTATGCCGCAAAAGCTCTATAGAGCATACGCCATTTGCCATTCAAATGTACCGCACTCGTGTAATTCCTGATGTGCAACGTCCGAACAGCAAAACACCTCCTTATTACGAAGTACAGCTCAACCACAAAACCACCCGTGTTAACTTCTATTCTCCCCTCGACAAGACCATCGTTATTTGGCACCCCCGCAAGCGTGGAACCAAAATATTCATCCTCCGTCCAAAGTCTGCGGCGCACTCTGCTGAATGGTATACTTTCATTCGCCAGGTGCTTGGCTGGCGGCGTCCCATCTCGCTCCCTATCTACGTCCCTGATCTAGGGGTTTCTCTCATTTTCAAAAATCCTTTCAGCCAGCTCGAGGCAGGACTGAAAGCAGATAATTCTGATAGCGAGCATGTAACAGCAGTTGATAACAAATTTGCTGCCGCTACTATCATCCGAGGATGCATGGATATGCTCGAAGGCCGCGCCGAGTGGGCCGAGGTCTTGAAAGCTTGGTCCAAGACCGAGAAGATGGGACTTGCTTGGAAGCGGTACGACCGACTTGAATGGGTATTTGGAGTCAACGAGGAAAAGATGTATGGGACCATTGGGATGCAATCATCTCATGAGCTTGAGTTACGACCAAGACACCATTACTCTACTACAATCAGGCACCGAGGCGTACAGGAGGAACCTGCCCCGATCGAAGGATTTCTAGTCCGTCTTACATCCCAGAAGGGTGTGCATCAGCGGATGAACAAGATGTTCTTCAAACGGCTGTACTTCTTTACCCAAGATCATTATTTGTTTTTCTGTCGCCCAGCGAAGGCAATGCCCCCGCCACCCCCGAAATGTGCTCCCCCAGAAGACGGAAGTGTGCCAACTGCCCGTGAAATCTTGGATCAAATGCCACTCTCGTGGGATATCGATCCTTATCCACTTGAAAGTGGCCAGATTGCATGGCTTTCCAGCGGCAATCAAGAATTCGTCAAACGGCACGATGAAGAGGCTTATGCGCATGTGCAGAGGAATGTACACAATATCAGCCAATCGGATGGGTATATCGATATGTGTCGGGTGCAAGAAGTCCGCAATGTCTATCGTGGCAGTTGCCCTGCTGACCCCAACATGCGGGGAGGACCTTCTGTGGACTTCAACCGTGAACCTAGAGACTCACGGCAGGATGATGGAGCAACGCGAGAGTTCGATGACGATAGGACATTTGAAATGGTTCTAGATAATGGTCTTGTCATTCGACTCCAGGCATACGATGATGCCACACGGGATGAGTGGGTCAAACGGCTCGATGCGCTTGTGAAGTATTGGCACACTCGCTGCACAGACGATGCCGCAGAGCTGCAGGCCGTACGGCAGCGTAATCTCAAGCTGTTGGATATCGACGAAGCTATGGAATCTCTTGTCGGGCAGTTCGCGAAGAAGTGGGAAGTGAAGAAAGCCGAGGCGTCTCCACACTTGCACAACATGTGCTCCCTGTCTGGTTGTCGGACTATCAAGGTATGTTATCGCTGCATAACATTAGACAAATACAAGCACAACATACTGACAACATCAACAGATGTCCGGCGACTTATATCGAAAGCCCCGTCGCCACACCACTTTCCACCAATGTCATGTCATCCTCACGGCAGGCAAGCTGTTAATTTTCCGAAGCACACTGCGTAGGCGAAACGGCACTGAGATTCCACACATTCATCAAGAACTGGAAGCAACTATCGAACTGGAAGATTGCTATATTTATTCCGGCTTGATTACCGAGAACGACTTGCTGTATGCCAATCAGACATTCGACAGCAATAACCCTGGTCTTCATGCTCTGCCGCGGGTGTACCTCGATTCGGATGCCTTCACAAGTCGCGACGAGGACACCGCTATCACTTTCGTGGTCTGGCAACCCTTGAGTAAGAGTTACTTCCGAGCCCAGGAAATAGGGGAGCAAGGCAAAGCCAAAAGATCCTTGCGTCATGTGTCCACGCTGGGCAAGCATGGCCGTACTATCGTGTTCAAAGCACGTAGTCGTGTGGAAAAGGATCGTTGGGTGATGAGTATTTCCTCGGAAATTGACCGTCTTCAGGAAGAGAAACATGAAGATATACGCCTTGTTTCTCCCTAATTACTGATTGCATTGTCTGCATTTCTTGGCCATTCATGATCCCTCTTCTATTGGTATACAGCACTTCGTTTTTGCTTTCCTTTTTCCGTTTCTCGGTCCTTTCACCTACATACGCATAGCACAGCGCTTTACACTCAAAAATAGTCATACAGTGATATCCAAAAGATGCTCCTAATATATGTACAAATCCCAGTCCACAACATCATCAGAAATGGGAAAATCAAGCTCTATTAACAAATGCAAGATGCCAATATATGCGCCAACCCCCATCTATAACCAGCTCATCAATTCAACATAGGCTGGTCGAGCTTAACAGCATCCTTCAACACACGATTCCGCACACTCTGTCGGTACGAATCCGCAGACGCATCATCCGTCGACGTAGACTCCCAGTCCGTCCAGTTCAGCCACCGCATCCGTGGTCCCAGCACTGCAAATACCCGCCCAGTAATCAAACTAAGACTGACAGGCCCATACGTATTGCTATCCAGCGTCTTCCGCGGATCCTCCGCATCACCCTCCAACCAAACATGATTCCACGGGACGATCTGCGTTTGCCGTAGACATGGCTCGCGAGTCGTGATCCGGTCACCGGGTAACCCGATAATGCGCTTAATAGCGATATGAGCTGGGTTTGCAGGTGAGCTATATGTATCGAGGATATTGTTAGTATTTGCTGCACTCGACTCGACAAAAACAGTATATAAAATAAAAGTAAATAAGAGTAAACACGCATAGGAAAAACCCACCGGAAAGTAACAATCATCCCTCGTTCAAGCTTGCGCTCCTTTTTGAACGGCAGTATAGATCCCCACGGCCACATGCTGACCATCACCATGTCGCTCTTCGTTTGCGTTTGCGCATACTCCTCGTTCAGGTATGGTGTCATTGATGGGCCGCGAACCCACATCACTTGCATTACGTGTTCTGGGAAGAAGAGGGCAATTGGGAGGATAGGTGCTGCCCAGCGGAGAGTGCGGCATGCTCGTCGGACTGGGTATGGGAGGGCGGAGATGCGTTGGCGGAGGTTTGCGACAAAATGTGAGATGAGCGCGGGTGTTCGTTTTTGTTTGGAGAGAGAGGGGCCCTCATATGTTGAGGGTTCGGGAATTTGAGGCTTTGGCTCTTCGCGGATATGGACTCGGAACCGCGGATTGGGGGTTGGTATTCCTCTTGGCCGTTGTGGTTTTGACATTTTTGAAGTTGGAGGCGGAGGTTAAGGGGTCGGGGGATTTGCGGGGACTATCGATTGTGTTGGAGATTGGGTGTTCAGTTCAAATATTCGAGTTTCATTATGCAGCTATGATCATCGAAAGACTTGCAATTGGAATTGGAGTGAAGTGGTCTCAAGCTGGAATCATGATCAAATGCGCGATCTGATAGGGTGTTTGCATTGTTTGCATTATGCTTTCTGCAAATGCGTTGCGCTGACACTAAGATGATTGTCTTCGTAGAAGATAGTACAAAGAAAAGAAGCTGCTTACAGAGTTATTCCAATAATAAAAATTGCCCCTACTAATACGAAAGCGCTATCAAAGTATGGGGACGAACTGTCTCATCTTCGCCTTATGTGCTACACAGTACAGAGAAACACTAAGACTTAGGATGGCGGTTTCAAGGACCCTTTGAGCAAAAATCGCTTCTAGGCTAATATGATATCACAGAAGGAAAATATTGTGGTTCGCGTTGAATTCGTATGGTGGCGGTCGTAAATCATGTCGGGGACATGCTGGTACATGTCTCCACTGTGTACAGGCCGAGTGAGGCGTGTAACAACTTATTGGTGGTTCAAGCATCGCTGCTCTCAGCCAGGTCCTCCTGCGTGGGAGGGAAATACTGGCTGGAACTATTGTCAGTATCTTATCAAGCAGTGTGAGAGATGAGACAGGCTTACGGAATGAATTCCTCATAGGCGGTCACCTCCTTGGGCTCAAAGTTGCAGAAGATGACACGCTCCAGCAATCCGATGTTAGGTCCAACGAGGAATTTCCGCACTTCTTTGATGGCATCTTCAGCGGCGTTTCGACTGGGATAGCCGTAGACTCCGGTGCTAATAGCGGCAAAAGCAATACTCTTCATATCGTTTTCGACTGCCAATTCCAGACTGCGCCGGTAGCAGGATCGAAGGAGCGCGACGGGGTCGTCTTCGTTTTGGTAGATTGGGCCGACTGTGTGGATCACACGCTTGCAGGGCAGTTCATAGGCGGAAGTGATCTTTGCATCGCCAGTGTCACATCCATCAAGATGGTAGCATTCTTCAACTAGCTTGGGACCTGCCGCTCGGTGGATTGCACCGTCCACGCCACCGCCTCCGAGGAGAGACTCATTAGCAGCGTTCACAATGCAGTCCACTTGGAGCTTGGTGATGTCATTGCGGATGATAGAGATAGTGTTGTTGAGAGACTGGGATGGTGGAAATTTTGAGGACACAGGAAGGAGCCGCTTCGCACGGTACAGACGTTCCACAGTAGGGATATCAGCCAGCGCCAGAAGTGAAGACATAATGTAGACAAATTTAGGTAAGGCTGGGTCCAAGATGAAATCAAAGAGAAATGGTATTTACTATGGATGTATTGGACTGGAAGCTCAAGTGGGGATATGCCAAGCTCGGTGCACGGTCCACTTGATGAGTTACAGTCACGTGGCTATCTCATACATTGGATGTTTAGGGATGAAGACTTTATGTTATACCCAAAGATTTGTAGATAAAAGGAAGGAGATCAATATTTTGGTAAATAAAAAGGCTAGGTTTGTGTAACCAATTTACTTTGAGACTAACAATGTTGGGTGTTTGCTTGAAAAGAGCAGCAATGCATCAAATAATATATAATCCCACATAGAATCCACAAATCTCACGTATAGGACCAAGCACAAACACAAGGGGGAAAGATGCCGAATTCAAAAGGCCTCTTTGTTTCCTTATAAATAAGGCTATGCTAGAAATTACCCCTATATTTATGAACCAAGCACGATGTATAGGTCTAATAGATACAAATACTGAAGCTTTGGCATAAAAATATAACTCGGCGTATATGATACGATACCCATCAGCTCTATGCACGCTGTACTCCGCATTCCGCACAAGATAATCTCATCCAATGATTAAGTTTTGCTACGAATCATCCCGCTGCAATGTACTCCATACGGCAAGCTGCATTGCATTACCGATGCACCTAGCCTAAAGAGACGGGATTCCGTACCGCTCAACCCTAGGACGTAGTATCCAAGGCCAGGGCTCCTATCATTGGCCATATAATACCGGAGACAGAAAAGGTAAAGAGTATGAAGCCCGGGCTGTATCTGTGTGCAGCTTCGGGATTTGACATTGGACAGCAGTAGAGGGGCCAGCGGGAGACAAGTTGATTGGTTTGAGACCTCGGTGGCACATGGTTGACGTCTTCTCTGTGGATCAGTCATCTTACCACAGATTTGCCAGGTTTACGGGTAAAGTCTTTACCAATTTACCAATTTACCACAAGGACAGAGATGGGAGTTTAGCATGGAAATCACTATGTACGATCGACTCCCACAAAATTGTGTTGCAAATCCCGAGTCGCACTAAGAATGGAAACCGGAGTAAGCGCGTAAACACACTAGCTTGACTGCCCAGATCCCCGGCGCCTTGGACTGCGTTGGGATTAGGTACTCCGCACAGGCCTGAGAGTCAAAGACCTCCCCTTCAATATATGGGAGTCAATATACAGGAGTAGTACTCGGTACCTAGGATAAGATTACGACATTCATAGGGCACTTTCGAGTGTGGGTTCATATTTCCTTTGGCCCACCTCTCTCCACCGTGAAGACCCTGCTAGAACCTGTCAGATCAGCCGTGGACCGCCGTTTTCATGTCAGTTCCCTTTCCAACTAACATGACATGGATCTACGGGGACCCAGCCCATGTGCTTTGGTATAATTTACGATTGCCGATCCTTCGGTTGGCATCTGTTTGGGTGATTTTTCCACTAGTTCGTCCAGTCACACCTTCCTCTTAAAGCGACAAAAATAGCGTTGAGATGACATCGGGAAAAAGTTTTGGAGGAAAATACCAAATTAGGGCTCCGCTTCTAGAATTGCCTGGGACCAGAACGAACCAGTTCTTTTTTTAGCCTCTATAGGGAGATTTCTATGAAAGTACAAGATGGATCAGGGATCGGGTGGATACGTGGTCATTTTAAGAGATCAAAGCGGGAACATTTCGTACTTTTTGAAATTTTTCTTTTGGAAGAAACAGCCGGAGGAAAGCATAATTATTCTAATTATTCTCTAGAATTCTTGCAATGACAAATAACATGCACCAAAAGTTCAGGCGGAAGTTCACGGCTGTCAAATTCAAAGTTTTCCAACCATCAGGAGACTTCCTAGACGTGTGGTAACTCAGATTTTAAAACTTTATAAGACCTCACTGGAGGAATCTTATTCGTCCAGATAGCCAAAATTAATATGTAACTAGGCTAGGCTTGTTGCTAATGCATACGTCAAAAGTCTTGGGTGCATAATTCACCTGTCAATTACTGCAATGGGCCATATCTGCAGCTTAGGATGTGCAAATGGACTGGACCCTTGATTTCGAGCTTTGCGTTTGGATGGGAAAATGATTGGTGCGCTTGTATAGAACCAGTTCTCGGCTATTCGGTTATATCTATGGGTGCTATTGCGGATTTGGAATAGTCTCTGATGTTACGAGTCAGGTGAAAAAAAAAAAAAGGAGCGGTTATTTAGAACAATGCTCTTAAAATCGAGAGGATCTACTAATATATCGTTTGAGATGGAAGTATCACATATATGCCGCATAGCTTATGTGCCAAGCGATTACGCTTATTTGAAGCTTTTGGTCCTCCTGACATCCTTGCTAGTAGTCTGTGTGACAGCGATAGAGAAGGGTATCCATTATAATCATCGTCCACTTTGTCCAATGGAGAACCGTTTGAACCTTTGCCGAGATGTGGCCGAGCCCGTCCACATGAAAATCGAGACCGGAAGGATTCCCGTGCATATGATTAATACTACTTATACTTTGATTGCCTCTGGAAAAGGTCTCGACTACAGCAAGCATACTCCGTACATCCGACGTAGATCAATCCTTTCGAAGAGGCACTACATAAGCCATTAATACCAAGCACGAAATGTATATGGAAGATTCAAGAAGTGCCCGAGAGATCACCGAGAGGTCGAGTTCTTTCCAACATACTCCATACACAATATTGTATTGCGCCAGTCTCTATTTGGTATCTCGAGTGAGATTATACTTAAAGGGCATAACGCAATGGCGATCTGCTTAAAATAGACATGTTTGATACTTCCCAGCGGATGTACACAGAAACCACAGCATTATCAGGACCTAGAATTGACAACACCCCACATGGCAGTAAACCTTCAGACCAATTCATCATCTTTACTCCTCAGCCGTCTCGACCCGCAAAGAAAAACACATTTTTGCGCGTGTACGGAGTATCGAGTACGTATATCAAACAGCAGCATAGGCCAAACGGCAGATAACTCCCGAGATCTGCATATGTTGTAAAAAAGCATGTTGATATAATTGATATGATATTCTAGAAATGGAGCTATGGAAACCTGGAGGGACTGTCGGGACTATTGCTACATCCACTGTGTATCCACCGGCGGATCTTAATTAATCCAAGCCAGCTTTTGTTCATTTCCTCGCGTGGCTGAGTATGGAGCATATGGAGTGCAATCTATTTGTCTGTGGATTAGAGATTGGGAGGGTTTTTTTTTTTAAAAAAAAAAAAAAAAAAAAAAAAAAAGATTTAGTACAATATACACATGTGTGGTACATGGATGGTACGTTATGAATCAAAGATTTAGGTCTAGTTTTTGTGGCAGAGTGATATCGTCATGAAGATACTATCAATATATCATTTATGTACTTTGCACTCCGCCTAGGCGGAACTATCCGACATGCACTGTCAGATTTCAGAGATCAAGATAGTTCGGGATTTGGGCAGATGCCGAACCCGCAATATCAGTCGAGTTAGAGATTCCTTTTGCCATTGAAGATGGTGTGGATCAATGAAAACGGCCAGCCCACTTATAATCTCGTTAATCTCTCAGGAAAACTTTTTTTTTGGCTTGAGCTAGCCCCGCATTAGGACTACTAGTTGGCGCTAAGCACCTAGTCTCTGGAAGAGAAAGAAAAAAGAAAGGAAAAAAAAGGAGGAAATTCCAAGAGAAATACGGAATTCCTCCCCGCCGATCGAAGCGGTCTATCTTGTGGTGGAGTCTGGGAACGGTCCGGCTTGATTTCCCCGTTTTTATTTTGTTTTGGCTGTTTTGTTATTATTTCCCCCTTTTGTCGCCGTGGAGATTCTTTATAAATGTCGGTCTGTCTATAATCCACACAAGCGAAATGAGTAAAATCCCTGACCTCTTGGCTCAGAGTTCTCCCGTGTGGGTGTGTGCGTGCTTGGACAATTGAAAACATGTAGCTGTCAATCACAGAGATCAGGGGAAAAAAGAAAAAAAGGAAAAAGAAAAGAAAAAAAGTCTATTCATTCTTCCGTCCATAGGATATCCCATGCTTTTTTGAATCAGGAGACAAGAAAATACCCATAAGTCTTCAGGCGGAAATATCCATAATCAATATCACAATAATATCACTGCATATTGCATATTTGTATGATTTAGGGAGCGGAGTAACAGAGCGGAGTTCTTACCAATCCATCCGAACTAGTATCAAAAAGGACAATTTCTATTAGAATATCGTAGATCTGACACGTTTCGATGAGGAGTTCGGTCTAATCTGTAAGCCAGTAAGACACACTAAGACATCTTGCAGGACATTGGTTCCCGTTATATTGCCCGAATAATGTTACTCTTATCCTCTTCTGGCGCAATACAGCTAAAGAACCCTTGCTAGTTCGAAACATGCCCCGTCAACGTTGGTGCCGTTCCTTTGCCGTACGTGCAGATTGCCTTGCAGATTGGTCCTGATTTTTGAGAACAAAAAAAAAAAACAACCAAAAAAAAAAACACATTTTCTCCACCTCATTTCTTCTCCTTGGTCAATTCATACACCAGGATCGGCCCCTCTCTTCCTTCTTCCCTTAGTCTTTGTCTTTTGGTCAACTTGCAGCTGTCAACTTACTCTTTTCAGACTAGAGATCGGAGAGATCCCTAGGTGTCCCCACTGGGCGAATTAAACAACCTCCTGAACCGCCACACTTCGGAGTCTCGGGACATGGCATGATACTTTGGAGACTGGGTAGATTTCCGGAGGTTTTACTGTGTACGGCGTAGGAACGTGAACCGTGCTGTGTCTGCATGGTTATATCATCCCGGTGAGGGGAATATGTCTTAGTCTCCTTTGCTGAGTCAGTTGAGTGTCAGCAGATAACCAAGTAACTAGTTATTCTTGGCTGAATCGATGAACCTGATGTCTTGGATTTGGCTACTCCATATTAGTCTTGGATCGTAGATTAACGCGATAGTTGTAAGATGTACTTTGTATTCACCGCCTTCATGGACGATACCAGTTCGTGAGC